TTGTTTTCTTCTGATAAACTTTAGGACCCCAATTAAGATTTTTAAAAATGTTTACGAATTTAAAAGTCTTTTTACGTATTTAATTTTCTTCATGAAGTAAATAAAATTTAAAACCCGCATATATTGTACTGTTACTAAGGTGAGTATTTCAGTTTCAAGGGGTTTTCTTATACAAGGTTTTGTATGTAACTGTTTTATTCTTAGGCACTTACTGTCCTCACTGTCCTCACTGTCCTCATTGCTAATATTTAATTTTTATTGTAGCTTCAAGGAGCGTGGTGCCCGTTATACTTTGCTTTCACTATCTGAGAAACAGAAAAAGATTGGTGTTATATCAGCATCATTAGGAAACCATGCCCAAGTAAGAAGAGAAGTTTTAATTTGAGTCATCAATTGACTAATATTTTTAGGCACTGAGCTACCATGGCTGGAAATTAGATGTACCAGTTACCGTTGTGATGCCGAAAGCCGCACCTATTATGAAAATACAAAAGTGTATCAATTATAAGGCGAGAGTGATCGTAGAGGGCAGAGATATGGCTGAAGCCAAAACTTTGGCTATGAAAATTGCACGTGATGAAAATCTATTATATATTAATGGCTATGATCATCCACATATAATGGCAGGTCAAGGTACTATTGGTTTGGAAATTCTAGAGCAAGTACCAAATCCAGATGCTGTCATCATACCTGTAGGTGGCGGTGGATTAATAGCGGGTATAGCAACTGCTATTAAAGCTCTTTCCCCAAAAACTCAGATTATTGTTAGTAAACTACTTAATCATCGGAATGTGATAATTTTTGTCATTAATATCTTACTATTTATTTATTAAGGGAGTAGAATCTGAAAAGTGCCCCAGTTTTAGTCGTGCTATGGCTAATAACGGACCAGTACACACACCAATTAAAAACACTTTAGCTGATGGTTTGGCTGTGCCCAAAGTAGGATATAACGCATACATAACAGCCTTACCACTTATCGATAAAATGATTGTCGTGAAGGAAGAGTGGATTGCATTAGCAATTCTTCGTTTAGTGGAAGAGGAAAAATGTGTAGTTGAAGGTGCGGGTGCTTCAGGGTTAGCCGCCATATTAGCTGGACATCTTAATGACTTAAAAGGAAAAAGGTGAGGAAAACTTTAAAGTGATAATTACAATTTTAAGTTTTTTAAATTTAGAGTAGTTATATTGCTATGTGGAGGCAATATTGACACTACTGTGTTTGGACGCTGTTTAGAGCGTGGGCTCGCAGCTGAGGGTCGCTTGGTTAAGTTTAATGTTGAAGTATCGGATAGACCTGGCGGCATTCACGAACTTTGTGAAATTTTATCAACACTTGGTGTATCTATTAAGGACATTATGCATGAACGTGCATGGCTTAAAGACATTTATACGGTTGAGGTAAGTTTTTGACCACAAAAAAAAATATTCAGCCTTTTACATTCTATTTTTCTCGATAGGTTAAAGTTGTCTGTGAAACACGCGATTGGGCGCACAGTATGGAGCTGAAAAATGAGCTGAAAAAAATTTACACAAAAGTACAATTTTCGGAAGAGCCGTTGGCTATTTGTGAAAAAGAGTTAAATAGTGTTTAAATTTGTTTTAAATAAATATTTCTTATTTTTTTTTATTCAATCAATTTTAATAATTTATTAAAAAATCATAATTAATCATAATTAAGAATATTTTTAGTAAATTTATTTAAAAATATATAAATTTGATCATTTTCATTGTTATTTTACTTTCTAAACATCATCATCATCGTAAATAGTTATATCATCAAAATCATCATCAAATTCTTCACCATCAACAGCCATTTCTTTCTGCATTTTCCTTCGCATGGCTAATTCGTAGGCTAGTTCATCTTCCACTGAAGGATCAATTGCTTCTATGAAATCATACTCAAGATGTGGATACTCTTGGTATTGAATTGGCATATGCTCGAATGGCATGTTACGGGCTACATATTTATGTCCCCAACCCAAGTAAATTGATTCACATACATCTTCGAATGTAAATGAAAATGCACCAGGCCAGATGTTTGAACACATGACTAGCACTCTTTCTTTTTCATTGGTATAAGTACTAGTGAAACGTGTACTCCAAGGTACAATATTAAAATTAGAAACATCCTCATCACAATGTGATAGTATGTTGGGCCCATATTCTCGTAGATCGGGGTACATTTCTTCTTCTAAGCCTTCTTCCTCGAATTCTTCTTCAACTTCTTCTTCTTCTTCCTCCTCCTCTTCAAGAGCCGCTAGTCTAGCTAATCTCGCAATTTGCTTCGCACGCATTCTACGAGCTCTCGCTTCATCGAACCACACAACGCGTCCTTGATTTAAAATATTGGGACGCACATGAACCCATTTGGAAGGTGTATTTAACGACGTTAATGGTATCGGATCATACCTCTCGTTTTTTAGAAGAAATACGTCATTATCTACAAAATAAATATAAAAAAAGTTAAATATACAAAATAATTTTTAGTATTTCTGTTATATACAGATATTGTAATATAATATCAAAATACAAAAAAAAAGAGAGACAACTGTACTCCACTGACAATAAAATAAATTTTATTGATTAAAAAAATTTAAACTTTATTTACCCATGTCTTCTTCTTCTTCTTCGTCTTCAGCTTCTTCTTCTTCTTCCTCCTCCTCATCATCTTCAATACCTTGAAATAAGCGTTTTTCACGTTTTGTCATTTTACGGTAATAACCTTGAGGAGCTATGTAGGTGCCAGCAGTTATTCGTCCAATAATAGCTCGTAATAAATGTTTTTCTTTTCCACAAAACTCTGGATAAGATATTATTTCTTCCTCAAGATCACCAGTCAACAATTTTTTAATCTGCCTGGAAAGTTTAATTTGTTGCGGAGTTACAATAGGTAGCTCTATCCAATCATCTGATAAAGCGTTAACAACAAAATATGAAAGTCTATTTGTACCTTCTCCAATAAATTCTGGAGGTACATCAAAATCTTCCTCTTGCTTGCTATGAGGTAATGGCTTAACTCGGGGTTTCATCTTTTCCACTTCTTCGGGAGGATAATTTTCCCAACCTTCACCACCAGGTTCGAGTTTGGGACCCATTCTATCAACCAAAGGAGATTTTAAGACACTTTTATAATACAATGACAATTTTTCCTGCATTTCTTCTCTCATCAACGCGATTCGCGTAGTTAGTTCACTTAGAGTTAGATATGCTTCAACTATGTAATACTGAGCATTCAATCCAGTTATAATACCCCAAAAACGACATTGCTGAATTGACGGATGACTTTGTAGGCGTGTCATAGCAGCAGCAAGTTCGTAAATATCTTCTGTGCTTGTGCTAATTAACAGAAGATTATGAAACATATATAGTGCTATAAAAATTCCTACCTGAACCCACATTGGTGCCAATAAAACTGTAGTCTCTGTACGTGCTGATTAAAAACAATAAATTTTTTTAAAACTTCGTCTAATTGTAAATTTAAATAATTCATTTCCGATTTATGGTCCTCTTCAAGGCCTTCTGCAGCTACTCCAGGTTCAGGCGGTATTTCCAATCCAGGCAGCTTAAAAAGAAATATTGCGAAATATTCAGTATTTTAACAAGTACCAACGTAATAATACAAACCTTCAATGAATGTAAGAACTTTTTAGCAAGAGGGTAAATTTCAGATTCCAAATAGATGGCCTTTGGAGGAAATCGTTCCGGTAAGTGGAATTTTTCTTTACGTACTTTACGACTATATTCTTCAAAGAAATCAATAGTATTTTCTGGTCGTTCATCTAACACGTGTTTTATAATATCGGAAAGATGATCAAATCTACAATATATATCACATATAATTTTATAATTAAAACATCAGTTTAGCTACTTACAAATTGTTCCCCGTTTCTGTACTGTATTTTTGCAGAATAGCTTTCGCTACTGCTGTCTCATAAACAATATTGGGCGCATCCATCTTAGGTTTTGGAAGACATTCTAATTTCATAAAAGCAGAAGACATGGTGGAAAGAGAAGAACTCGTCGATGAAGTAAGTATATTGGTGCATGATGGTATGTCTACTACTAATTCGACTTGCTCTACAGGTGGAATCTCTGGCTGTGTACATGGGAATGGAGCATTTAGTGAAGTGGTTGAAAGATCCGAGGGAAATCGATCACAGGTTTTCATTTTAGTGCCCGGGACAAAACCCTCACATGGTTTCATCTCATTCTCGTTCTCATTCATTTTGAGTAACGACAAGCTTGAGTTAAGTACTACGAAATTATATGATATTGAACTAAATAAATAATTGATTAATTTTTTTTACTTAAGTTTTAAATTTTTTTACATATAAAAATTATAAAATATTTTAAAATCTAAGTTAACTAAATCAAGAAACACTAAAAATTATATTATTTTCCTTTAATTAGTTCTGTATATTTTATTCACTTGTTCATAATTTAATACTCTTACACGACAGATAGATAATGATTAAAATGTGCATCAAATTGGAGCAGACAAATTTTAAACAATGTCCTTGTTAAAGTTATACGCACCTACATTTCTACCATTATGTATTTCACTAATATGGTGACAAATTACGTATTGCATGACGAAATAAACAAGCTTATATTAGACTGCCATAAAGGGTGAAGAAGAGGATCGCTGGAAATATAGGTTCAGAAAAGAGAGACGGCAAATAAAACCGAAGGAGACTCATTAACACTGAATCCTGTGTGACTAGGTATCCAGCAAAGCATCACTTTGTTATTGCTTGCCAGCTGGTGCAGCGTGTCATAGCAGTCTAACAGAAGCTTAGAGGAAAATTTCCAGGAGGACAACACTAAGTATTGCCAGATTAATTTTGACATTTCTGTTTCAATTATTGTGTTATTTACATCGATTCTAAATTGTGTCTGCGAAAAAATAAAATTAAATAGTGAACACTTTCGTGCGATGAGTTTTTACGATTTTCCACACGAATTAACCAGAAAGGAAGGCATCTATTAACTTAGTTCGGCATTTGGCGATGAAACATCACATCCAGCAATTATACCATAAAACACTGATTGAGTGAATACAAGCGTGGACGTCGTTTTTCCACGACGAAGGTCGTGAAAGTTGTATATGTATTAGCCCGAAACAAAACAGCATTCTACTGTTTGGGTCTTCCAAACTGAGAAGAACCTGACAACAGTTCTTCGCAAAAGAAACATATCCAAGCAAATAGTCACAAATTTCTTTAGAAAAACCAGTCATATTGCAACTGTACCGGTTGAACAACATAAAACGGTCAATTCTGAGTTATACATAACCATTTGCCAGAAAGCTTCGCAGAATTAAGGAAAACCATAAATTAAGGAAGGAAGATCATCTTCCACCACTATCACATCACCACACATCAGCTTAAAGAAAAGATTTTTTGAGCACTCAAAACGTCGAATTGACGTGGCACCCAATGACTTATTGTTTCTAAATATTAAGAAAGAAATGCATGGCGAGTGTTTTTCTACGTCCGAACAAGCCGTTGAGACATTTAAAACCCTGATTTTAGAGATATCAACTTAAGAGTGTCAAAACTGTTTCGATTATTGGTCCAATCGAATGCAAAAATATGTTGACTTGACCATCATGGAGAATACTTCGACTGTGTTTTCAGTGTTAGACGCAAAACTTAAAACGGTTAAAATTAAAAACTTTTGGGTTATACATAAAACCATTTAATAAAAGATTATAAAATCGCATCGCATATTGCTATAAGAACATATAAAAATGATTTACATAAACAACCAAGATATATTTAGTGTTAAATCGTCATATGATACGAGTTGTTTATTTGCCTTTTAATTAAAGTATAGCTCTGATATAAATAACAAAAAAGATAAGATAAAAGATATAGATAAATATGTATATCCAAATTAATAACAAAAAAATGTATATGTATGTATGGAAAAATGATTAAGATCCAATACAAATGTATCTATAATTTATTAAACAATTGCATAAAGTACCCATAAATACAATACATAGAACAATCAAAAAATAAACTCACAGCTTTAATCCAAATGCAAACTGAACAAACGTATTTTATAAATAATAATCAGATACAAATTCGGCTTTATGGGTATGCAAAAATAATATTTTTCTTTGCAACAACTTTCGTAATAACAATAAAACACACAGAAACAATTGAAACACGCTTGGGATTGTATCTTATCACTTCATTTGGTTTCTTCACTTTGCATTCGCATTTATAACTGTGTACCTCCGGTTTGCTATCGTTTGCTTTACTTTTTGTTTCTTTTCTTCTGTTTATTTTCTGTATGAAAAATGAATTGAGGTAAAGTTTCGACTTTAGTTTCTCCGAAGCGATCGGCGTGTGAAGTTGCATATTGACATACTCCGAGAAATACTTGTCTCAACCATTTTGTTGGAACTGCAGGGAATATATAATGCCGATTGTACAAACCGGTGAGTTGTGTATTACTTATTATGAATTGTTTAATTTGGATTTACATCTGCGTGAACTTTTTTTCAAAGACTTACTAATTGTTTATATTTTCAATTCTTTAATTAAATGAAATTCGGTCACATGAGTTTAATCGATAAAGTACTAAAATTGATCACTTCCAAATATATTGGGCTGC